TGTCAGAGTCTTTTCTTCATATAGTTGAATTAATTCCTCCCTCTAAGAGCGTGTTCACTGTCTTCAGTTTTACTCCGTGCAGGTTGAACAGGCAAACGCACAATTTAAATATGTTAGAAGTAAAATCAGTCAACAGTGATGAGAACAAACAGCAGTGTAACACAAAAGCGTGAGAGCAATGGAGGTGAAGGATCTGATTAATCAAGATGATTGATTAACTGTTGATATTATGTCGTACGCTTAGTGAGGGAAACCATGTCGCGTTTAGGCTCCTCCTCCTCCTCCTCCTCCTCTTCCTCGTCCTCGTCCTACTCGCTCTTCCTCCCTTGACCCCTGGCTGGTGTTCCCACTAACACCTCCTGACGCAGGACCGGGCAGCAGCCTGCTGCAAAAACCCATGACCTCACGACGCAGCTGCTCCGCGTGTGTGTGTGCGTTGCCAGGTGAGGTCCCTCAGGGAGTCCGGCCCCCTGCACAGTGACCACCGGTGAACATCTGGACCTCGCAGCTGGATTATTTTTGTTTACATTCAACATCGATCTGAAGTTGCTGATTTCACTCACAAATGTGCCAGAAAACTGTACTTTCCTTTCATTCTGTGTCTGTCTTGCTTCTCTTTTTCTCATCAATCGTTGTGATTCATCATTCATCATTTACTAAATGAACATCATGCTGTATTGAAGAAGAGACCATAAAGTCATGTTTACAAAGTCTACTGAGGGAACAAATCAAAAGGAGAAGAGTCATTTTCTCATAGACGTCTATGGGACCAAAAGGTGGTGGAGTAGAAGTTCAAGTAGCAAAAATAGAAGTAAAAGTACAAACACCAACATGTACATTCGACTGCGTTGATATAGTGTGTATATTATTTTTATGATATTATATAAGGGTCTAATTTAAATGATATTGTGTTTTGATTCAATATCTATGTTCCATACCTATATTATTATTATTATTTATTAGTATTTAGTATTTTCACACCAATAACCAATACTCTTCTGAGCACATTATTAAGTCATTGAATAGAGAATAAAGATTCTGTCCAGCCGGTTTTAAATTACTCATTTATAAACTCGTGGGATTTGAATTACAAAATAAAAACGAAGAATAGATCAAACACGTCTTGATTAAAGCTCTGATTCAAAGCGGACCTTCTCTCCGCGGAACCTCTGTTTCCGGTCGGACGGAAGTCGACGCCGGACGTGTTCCCGTTGACATTGCTGAGGAGGAAGAGGAGCGGAAGAGACAGAAGGAGCGTTACCCAACCTGAAGGTTTCTTCACCGGAGGGAGCCGCGATTCAGTGGCAGCCCGCTTCTTCGCTGTGACACCGGGACACCGGGAGCGAGTCATGTATCGGCGGCCGCTGCAGTCCGCCTCCAGGGCGGCTATTAAAGCCACGGCGTCCCGGCCCGCCGGCGGAAAGGTAATAAGCTAACGTTAGCCTAGCCGGCTAATTGGATTTGATCAACATTAAGTTCTCTAACACGGCGGCAGGAAGTGACAACATGAAGGGTTGTGTTATTACATGAGGCCCGCGGCTCCCTGGCAGGGCGGCTCGTGGAGGTGAACTTGACCTGTAGGGCTGGATGAACACGCGAATCCACGTGTTAACAAAGAGAATATATAACATCTGTTATCTAAAGCCAGGCCCGGTACTGCTGGATGAACACATGAATCCACTGAGCTACTAAGACTTCTCATCAAGGATATTTAATTTACTTCAATATGATGAGTGACACTGCAAAACATCCCTTTTGAAGTGTATTAACAATTAGTATATTATTAGTTTAACTGATAAGTATTCTAATCAATGCAGCTGCACTCTGATAAAATGCTGGTTTGACACTGAGCTGAGAGTTAAATGATTACATATTACACAACACACAGACAACTTCCCTCCCGCTGCCTCTCAAAGGGTTAAAGTATCTGCTTGTGTTTAGCGCGTGAAGCGCTCCTCACCAACGTACGAGTGAATCTTCTGTCACTTTCCAGGTGCTCCTTCAGGAAGCGTCAGGAAGTTTCCCCAGAGCTTCTGCAGCCTGCCGGCTGGCCAGAGCCCCCCCCTCCCATCTAACAGCCTGTCGGACGCTGCACATCGGCACTCAGGTAACAACACCTCCACAAAACACAAGAGCTCCACGTGTTAAAGCTGCGTTCTCTGTAGTGACCAGCAGGGGGCGACTCCTCTGCTCCCATAGACGTCTATGAGGAAATGACTCTACTTCTCTGTAGTGACCAGCAGGGGGCGACTCCTCTGCTCCCATAGACGTCTATGAGGAAATGACTCTACTTCTCTGTAGTGACCAGCAGGGGGCGACTCCTCTGCTCCCATAGACGTCTATGAGGAAATGACTCTACTTCTCTGTAGTGACCAGCAGGGGGCGACTCCTCTGCTCCCATAGACGTCTATGAGGAAATGACTCTACTTCTCTGTAGTGACCAACAGGGGGCGACTCCTCTGCTCCCATAGACGTCTATGAGGAAATGACTCTACTTCTCTGTAGTGACCAGCAGGGGGCGACTCCTCTGCTCCCATAGACGTCTATGAGGAAATGACTCTACTTCTCTGTAGTGACCAGCAGGGGGCGACTCCTCTGCTCCCATAGACGTCTATGAGGAAATGACTCTACTTCTCTGTAGTGACCAGCAGGGGGCAACTCCTCTGCTCCCATAGACGTCTATGAGGAAATGACTCTACTTCTCTGTAGTGACCAGCAGGGGGCAACTCCTCTGCTCCCATAGACGTCTATGAGGAAATGACTCTACTTCTTCTACGTCTCTAGTTTCGAGTCTTCTTCAATACAGCATGATGTTCATTGAGTGAACTATGGGTCCATTTAGAGTCAAACGGACCATAAAGCAAGGGATGATTTATGGCGGGGCTACACAGTGATTGACAGGTCTCTACCAGAGACGTAGGGCAGCATTTCCTCCTCAGTCCAGATGAGGCACTTCCTGTTGACTGGTGTTGATAAAACAAGAAACAACTCTCAGGACATGAGGCTGCTGAGAATAGATCAGTGAATAAATTTACTCTGCAGCTGCACAGTAAAGGAGGTTGATTGTGCTCTCTTCTGTGTGTGCTCTACTAATCAGGGCTGTTTGG